TAAAACATATTTAGCTTGTAAATTTCTTTTCTTACCTTAATCATATGTTTTATTTTTATCCAATAATAAATCAACTTCATTCATTCTTATTTTATCATTTTCATGTGTTTGTGTATAACATTATAGGGCTAGGCGCTTAATTAACACGTTACACGTTTAAATACATAATAAGGTAATATTGTACTTATTTCAATGATAATTTTATTTATTATAGTTCAATCTTATTATTATTATAATCAGTGCAGGGGAGTGAATCTAAATCTATTGCAATATAAAAAATATGCTCCAAAAATAAAATAATATAGATGCAACTACAGTTGCGGAAATGGTATACACTTATCATGTTGTACAACATTCACAGAGCTACTTATCATCACAATGTGGGTCGAATCTTTTCCCCATAATATTTAACGAGCCCAAGATAAGTGAAAACTTTACTTGTGGTAGAATAAAAATGAGCAAGGACCTGAATCCAGGAGGTCAATTCTTGACGATTTGAAAGAGGGACATTGAAATGCAATTCTAACAGATGCATTTAAAAAGGGAAATATTAAAACATTTCCCATGATCCTCCGCTATTTCTACAAAAATAAGGATGTTTCAATAAAACTATTTAAATTTTTTTTCCCTTAGATAGAGAAAAATCCAAAGAGAAAACTAACCATATAATGGTAGATATAGCAGATTCGGGATTATCAATGAGTCGCATGTCAGCTTTATACGCTGATAATGCCTCAGTGAATTTTGGCAAAAACCGGAGTGTATTTACAGAATTGAGGTAGCACAATGTTGACTTAATACCAATTGGCTGTATATGCCATATACTACATAATTATTGCAAGAAGGCAACATGGATGTCGAAATAATTGTAATGAAATATTTAAATGAATTTAGTTCATCAACTTAAAGTTTTAATGAATTAGAAGAGTTGGTGGAGTGGTCAGACTTGTAATGGTGAGTTATTGCGACATGTCTTTATCAGGTGGCTATCATTAGTCCCCGCCATCAATAAAATTTTAAAATTTTACGAACCATTAAAAAAAATATTTCTTAAATAAATATTATAAAACCTTCCCTAATATTTTGAAAAATTTTTTCCAGAATGAAATGGTAGAGGCATATTAGGAATGATTTCACATGTAGGAAATTTACTACTACATGCTGTTAATATGCAGTTGCAATCAGAAGAATCTTTTTTAATAAAGATTCACAAAATTATGCTGCAGCTGTGTTCATCTTTACAGTTAAAGATTGCCAATAAATTTTATGGCGCTATTGCTAAAAATATCATACTAACATGTTCAAATATTACTCTAACTAATGTATTTTGAAGCAAATATTTTTATTTTTAGAATATTTGCAAAAAAAATTGGATTTCAATAACTCGATTTACAAATGTATAGATATTATGATCTTGGAATAGAAACCATCAATTGATGGTTTTTGTAATTTAATAAATATATTAAAAATACCGATAGACATTAATGCCTTGTTTGAGGAGATTCAATTATTTTCTTTTATACATAATATAAAAAAGTAACTCCACTACAAAGTAGTTATTTTGAAAATATTACCTATTTTGAAATTATAAAACGTTACCGACTTTGTTAATATTTATATAAAAATTATAAGAATTAATAAGGGGATAACTAAGGTAATTTACAATCCCGGCCGAAGGCGGGAACTTTGTGGGCCTTTGGCAATTTTTATATTTCTACCGTAATTTCCATATTTCACCCGCAAAATACCAAATTTCTACCGCAATTTGAAAATTATGATTATTTTACCCCATTCGAATTCCCATCAGAGCGCATTTTTAGCCTAATGAGGACTGCCTGGAGAAAGGAGAGAAATAAACTTGATCTGGAAACATTAGATCCCGAACTAATGTTTAAACAAAATTATATGTCTTGCCACCGATTTTATAAATTTCTCAATACTGACGGTAAATTTTCAATTCCACATTATTACAAATTATTTATTATTTGTATTTTTAATCAATTTTATATTTTATTAAACGATATTTATACTATTTGCATAAAATTATCTAATTTATATATTGGCAAAATAAAGATTGTTTGTTTTGTATAAAATTATTATATTTTTATACATTTAAAGATCTTATTTATATAAAATTTGGTCTCGCAAATTAGATCAAAGGATTTATTTTTATATAATAAATACATCAAATCCAATACAAATAGATATAAATTAAAACTAAGAATAAAATATCACCGATTTTGAAAAATATAATAAACCGATAAGATTTTGTTAAAGTCATAATTATGAGATTAAAAGGAGAATTCAGATAAACCATGTTCCTTAACTCGGGCTAAGGCCAGCATTTTGTGAACCTAATTTTTCCCCAAATTGAAAATACGACCAAATTTCTCCCGTAACCCTGTTCACACCTGCTATTTAGGAGTTATAAAAAGTCATTTTTTTATTTAGGCGTTCTGAAATAAAATTTACTGAATAAACAATTCCGATATGGTTATAAATATTTTTTAGCTAGAACGCCCTTTCAACACAATTCACATATTTGAATATTCGGTTTTAGTATTATTTGATATTATGCAATGATGTTAGAAGTGGCACTAAAAAGAAAGAAATAATAATAGTTGATGAACATATGTTTTTTTATTATTATTTTAGCAACCTTAAAGATTTGCCTAAACTAAAAATCAAATGTAAATGAGTATTTCACCTTATTATGTTAATATCATCCGTTTTCATAATTTTAATAGCGCACATATAAATATTTTCTAAAACCCAATTCCTGTATTTCACGATTCATTTTTTTGCGAATTCCAAATAACCTCCTTAAAGGACACGCCATAAAATGAATATATTTTAAAATTAATCTAGTAATCTCAAAACTATAGCATAATAATGTATAATATTTTTTTTAAAAAAAATAAAGCTTTAATTTTTCCAAGGGTCATAAATTAATTAAAATTTTGGTAAACTTTTAATTCAAAAATTTTATAAATTCCTAAAACTCATAAATAAAACATTGAATAAATAATACATAAATATTTTTTTTATTATTAATAACTGGTCGTAAGATAATGTACAACTATAAAATTTGTTCAAATAATATTTCATTTTTTTAAAAAAATTGAATTTTAAATTTTTAAAAATATTTGAAAAAAAGATTAAATTTAAATACAAGCTTTTTCGAACACTCATCTTTTATCCAAAATCATCTATTTTTATATTTAAGAATTCAGGGTTGTTTTTCTATTCACTCGATCAAATGTAATACCCCAGTAGACTAGAAAGGCAGACACGGTTTAAATTGTGTAAATAGTCAGGGGAAACATTAACGCCACCCTTCCATTAGAGATCTGCAAAGTTAGGCCCGGCCCGTACCCAGCCCGAGTCCGGCGGCCTAATTCTATTTAAAAAATCTGGTTCGGGCCGTCCCTAATATTTTTAAAAAAATTCGGGCTGGGTCAGGTCGGATTGGAATTTTTTTTAAATATTTCTAAATTTATCAATTTTATATTGAATTTTTTATGTAAAATAAAAATTTTTAATTTTATTTATTGAAACTAATGCCATATAATATATGTCTTTTATTTTGAATAATTATAAAAATTAATTTCTATATTTAAATAAATTCGGGTCGGGTCGGGCCGGTAAATTATTTTAAAAAAATTTAGGGTTCGGACCGGGCCGGCAAATCTTTTTAAAAGAATTTCGGGCCGGGCTTGAAAAATTAGGCCCGATGCAGATCACTACCTTCCATAAATCACGTCATCAATAAATTTTTAAATCAGCTCAAATATCTAACCATCTTGAGCCCGCCAACTTATCACAAGTAGACGGTTTAAGATATGACTATGACAACTATTCCTTGGGCTCTCGATAAATCTTTAGTATGGGTGATATTTGCTTCTCTTCATTCCCCCTTAACCAAAATTTAAGTATCTCAACAATTTGATTTTCATTCCAGCCACTCTATTAACGGCTCTTTTTTTCGCCTATATAAGTTTTTTTGGCAGTAAAATTAAACATTTAACCAAAAGTGAAAGAATTTTTACATATTAGACAGGAGATACAAATCAAAATTTTTAAATATAATTATGGTTCCTTTTTGGGAACACGATTGTTTAAATACTTATTTAATCATACAATTTTTATTTTTAGACTCTTTATTCCTATTTTAATATAGTTTTTACATGTGTCATTTTTATAATAATTTAAAATAAAAAGATACGGTATAAAAAAAATTAACTTTTTTTCGTGAAATTTCATTTTGCACAAAAATTTCCCATTTTAGTTCTTTACCATGATTTTGTAAAATATATCTGTGCTTGTGTTCATTTTAAATAAATTTTTAAATTTATTTTTCTGTAGTATAAACCTTAAATCTGGTTTAAAGAATTTTTCACTAAACCCGAACCCTTCATAGCTCAAATGAGGCTATGCAAACCCCAGACTTTTAAAAAACGTTATTATTTAAAGTTCTTTTGACATTTTTGTGTAAGATTTTAGTAGCTTAATATATTTCGACATCAAAATTAATTTTGATTTTTGCTAGTTCATGAGTTATAACGGTTTTTTGGAGCTTGGGATCTGCATAGACCCCACCTAATCATTCGTGTAACTTTTTTTATCTATTTTGTTTTGATATATTAACTAATAAACACTTTTATGCATTATTTTTATAATTAAAATTATATTATAAGAATAATTGAACCTTAGATAAACATTATACATCATCAATTTTATTTATATATATTATTATATCATATTGTGGTATTTGAAAATAATTGTCAGATTTTAAAAAATTTTGACTATCTTCTTAGCAAAAGTTATAAAATATTAATAAAATCTTAAAATAACAGTTAAAGTCACAAAATTAGAGATGTTATTCATACTTTTTTCACATTTTAATTATAACTAGTTCCATATATACAATAAAATATACTAATCATTTCATGCAACAGAATAACAGGTCAAAAATATACAACAGATAACATTATTATCACCTTTTATAATTGAGTCTTCTAATATAGATTTAGCATTTCGGAATGATTTTTGATTTTTATAATAAAAATATTATATTATTTAAATTTAGTAAGTAAACTATTCTGAACTTATATATGTTAGCGTCAATGTTTTTTTCCCGGCAATGTGTTACTTTTTTCAACTTTATATTGTTTTTTGAGCGTTTTTTTAAATTTAAATTTTACCGAAAATGTATTCCAGCATGTTTAGAATATGTATCTTTTGAATTGTAGATAATTTTACGGACAACTTTTGAGTCATTTATAATATATATAAAAAAATATATGGAAAAATTTTATATTAATTATATTAATTTTAAAAGTTCTTGGAAAAATTGTCTGAAATTCATAGGGTAGGTATTCCAAACATGACGGCATACATTTCCGGTAAAAACAAATTTTAAAAACGCGCTCAAAAAATGATTTAAAGCTGAAAAAAATAACACATTGCCAGAAAAAACACATTGACGCTAACATATATACTTGATAAATATATTTTTATTTGAAAATTTTATTTAATAATTACCCGATTTGAAGGGGTGGTTTATGTAGCGGAACATTATCAACCTTAACAACGTTTGGATGGTCCATAAAAGCTTCTCTGCCTTTGGCTTCTTCCCTTCTAATCAATTGTGTGGGAGATATAACTTCTTCTTGGTATTGTTCTATTGATTGAATTTAATTATTTTTTGATACTGTATATTTTATTTAATAAACAATTGCACACTTAATTTTATAACAAAATTTTTAAAAAAAATAAGAAATGGTAAATTTTATGCATACCACAATAATCAGGACTAAATTCCGATCTTTGGCCCTGGGATCGTTCCATAATTGAGAGCCGAGATGAGGGTTCCTTAGAAAAGATATAATATATGTTTATCAAGAGTGAAATTTTTAATTAAAATCATGACTGAAACAGTTAAACCGGATCGTAGTACACAAATTGATATTTTTATAGAGCATGAACAGAATACGTTTTTGTTGGTATGCAGCATTATTACAACCAACACAACAAAAATCCACTAAATTTCGCTCTCATTATTTTATTCCTACTTACTCTTAAGCTTAACCCATATGTTTTATATAAAATCACCAATTCATTCAACCGTCTCTTTTTTACTATGCTTCTGTAAAATATACAACATTTGTAAACATTATTGCCTAACGTGAGCTTTTCAAATCTCATTATATTAAAAATTTTGCATCCAAGCTATAAATGAATATGTTACAACCTACACAACAAAAATCCATTAAATTTTGCTTTCGCATATTCTATTTTATTCCTACTTACACTTAGGCTTAACCCATATGTTTTATATAAAACAATTCATACAACCATCTTTTTCTTACTATGCTTCTGTATACTATAAAACATTTGTAAACATTATTGCCTAAAGTGAGGCCTTTCCTAATCTCTCATTATATTAAAAATTTTGCATCCAAGCTATAAATGAATATGAAATTATTAAGGTTTATTAAATTCATTATGAAAATTTGTTTATTTCATAAGAGATAATAAAAAATTATCAAATACCATATCTCATTATTTTAAAATCAAATATTAAAAATTTCCAGGAATTTACCAGAACTTTTCACTTAACGTTATGTAAAATATGATATTATAAAAAGGCAGGTATTGGCTGGTGATATAAAATTAAATCGATTTTATAACTTGGTCTAGGAGTTTAATAGAATCATCTCCCAACGACTTCATTTGCTCTGATGTTAAATACCTATAAGAATGATCGCCTAGTATGGTATCATCACCTTGAAAATATTAAAAATTAAATTTATATTACTAGGGCTATGTTTGTTTTATTCAAACTTTTAATTACCCAAAAAGATTTCATAAAGGTTAAATCTTACCATTAATATTTAATATTTATGTTTCATTTTATTTTAATTTCAACAAATTATTAAATGAGATAATCCATTCCATATGGTTAAATAATGTTAATGGTTTATTTAAATGTAAATAAAAAATCAAAAATTAAAACAAATTATAACATCGAGTCTAGGCTAACATATGATTAGAAAAGATTAATATTAAAACCAAATTAATAATTAGTCTAGCAGGGTCCATTTTATTATTTAGGAGTAGGGATGGGAAAAACTCTTATATTATTAAATATTTTATCTTGACTTTCGTTTTTACTATTTTTTGGTTTAATTTAATTGAATTTTTTTTAAAATTTAATTCTAGTAAAATTGGTAGGAAAATGATATTTTTTGTTTTTATATCGGTTTACTTATTTTGTTTTACTTTTTGCTTATTTTTTCTGAATTTGATTTTTTTAGTTTACTAATAGTTCTTACCCCCTCTTTATGAGTTATAAAAATATATTTTCTTCATTTCGATATTATGAAATAAAGTTTACGAATAAACAATTCCAATAAAGTTATAAATATTTTTTAATTAGAACACCTTTACAACCCAAGTGACATGCTAATACTTAATCAATCTCATATTCTAAATATAATGCGGTTGCTTAATATATAAATTTTCTATTCCGAGTTGATTATCAAAAGATGCTTTAAATTTTTTCTGAAAAACATTTAAAAAAATAACAAATCGGTATAATAAATACTATAAATCAGTAAAAAAAAAAAAATAAATCACCCAGGTTTTTTTTAAATTTTCCATCCCGGTCCGGTTTACTTCTCGGGCCAGGCCTATATTTAAAAATTTTGATCCAGTTCTGCTTATCACTGATTTCCGTTCTCTTTAAACGCTAAAATTTTCATAAAATCTTTAAAATTGGGGGATAGGAGGAGGATCGAATAGGAACTTATTTCAATTCGATCGGATAGATTATAAATCGTTCGGGCTAGGTAGGACCTTTACAAAGAAAATCGTAATATATTTACTCGGGACATATAGAACCTGATAAATATGTTCGAGGATAATTCTAAAGATTCGATAAAAAAATTAATTTAAACATTAGAAAAGGTTGGGGTAGGCCAATCAGTAATTATTTTTTAAAGAAAAAATATTATAAATTAATCTAATTCCAAACTTTTAAAAAATTTGCTAAATAACGACACTGTTCGAAAAATAATTTGCACAAATTGTTTGGCCCAGTTTTCCCAGGCCCATATAATTACCCTAAATCCGATTTTTAAATGATCCATTATTGACCTTATGATAAAATCCATTAGAAAATCGAAATGGTGAACTTGGCTTTGATAATCTTTTACTAAGTTTTATCTTTTTTGAACTATAATGGTTATCGGAATAATCAAAATCTTCGAGTCCTATACTTTCTCCCTCAATATCAATAAATCTATTATGGTTATTAATACCGCAGAATCCGCAAAGAAGCGATGACATTTATTTTAAAAATTAAATATAATGTCAAATTCAATCAATCAAGAATATAACAAAGTTAAGACTTTTATAATGTCAGTTTTGGTCAATATTCAACACTAGCGTACTAAAACTTAACATAATATATTACGCAAGTCCTCGTTTTAAAGGATATAATTATTTTCAAGTTAGCTAAAAAAAAATTAATAAGAAGGAAAAATTTAAATGTTTTTAGGCTAAAAAAAATTAAATGAGATTAATAATTATATATAAAAAAATTAAAATAGCCATATTTTATTCGATTTTTAAACAAAATATTATAAATGTATTATTAGTTTAAACTAGTGCTGTAAACGTTACTACAAAAAAGAAACGCGTTACCGTTACTCGTTACATCTGAAAAATGGAAAGCGTTACCTTTACTCCTTACTATTTTCTCGTTACTTAAAAAAATTAAATGTTATATATAATGCAAAAAAATATTTATTTTTTTCCGACAATATATAATATAATAAAACTATACAAAAAGAACATATAAGATAAGATCTTTTTAATAATAAAATTTCCATATATAATTATAATATGGATAAAATTATACAAAAATAATATATTATAAGATAACATATTTATGTAACAATTTTTTATTTATTTTTAACAACAATTGATTTTCAAAACTTTGATCAGATAAACATGAGCGCTTAGTACTCAACACAGCTTTCGCCGTGCTAAACACATTCAATTGGCGCAGAGGTTGGGAGAGTTGTGTTATTTTATTAAAAATATTTAAGGAAATATCTTTATTTTTAAAAAAGATTGAAAGATCATCTTCACAGCGATCTTCATTCATTTCCTCATCAAAAAAAAATTTATCATTATCTGAAAATATTCTAGTGTGTATGTTGGATAAAGAAATCAAGCCTGTTCTTCTTTATCAATATCTTTTCTCAAACTGGAAATAAGTTCCAGCATTCTTCCTTTATTGACCTCTAATTTTATCCAGGGCCAATCCAATTTAAATAGTGGGTGAATTATTGCCGATAGTATATAATCATCATCATAGATGTGTTTGAATTTATTGAAAATATGATAGTCAAAATATAAATTATAAGCAATATCTATGGCTTCCAGGATTGAATCAATAAGCGGCTTACAAAACTTAAAATTATTTAAAGCCAATTTTTTAAAGTTTTGATATTATAATAGTTACAATGGGAGTGAGATATCCCAAATGCATATTTTCTTCGCTCTCTAAAATTGAAAGAGCCGTAGCTATCGGTTCCATAACCTATAAAATCATATTTTAATTAACACTAACCATACAATATTTATCTATGAACGACTTGTTGTTATCTGAAAATCTCTGTAATCCAGATTTGTCGCAAGATTCATCAAATTTTTGGCACCTTTAATAAGACTATTTATTAATTTTACAGAGTTATAGAAAGAATTCCATCTTGTTATAACAGGTTTAATCAAATATCTTCCCATATTTTCCTTAAAAATGGCTGCACAGTTAGAAGATTGCCCATGTTTATTCCACAAAAGTTTACATTTAGAAAATGTAATTTTTTAAATGGTTTTATAATGGACATCGTTGAGTGCCTTTTCAGTGTCAATACATAAGATTTAAAGTGTGTGCTGAACAGGAATAATGCTTAGGTAAGTATACAATACTATCATTAATATTTTGATCTTCAAATAGATCAAAATAATGGCAGTAGAACTATTTCATCATCCGATTCCTCTCCTTGTTCATATACTCTAATAAATTTTTAATAAATATATTATATAACGTTTTTTACTTGAGGGCTTTTAAATAATTTCTAGCATTATAATAAAATTACAATATGATTATAATATGTTCTTTTAGTAATAAAATTTTTATATGCAAAACTTAATTATAATAAATTCTTAGTCATAATATTTATATGTTTTTTATAAAGGTATTGCATTTGCAAAAAAAGTTATTTATATTTTGAAAATGTACTCATTTGTATTAGTTATAAATATAATTGTTAAATTATATATTTTTTTTTAAATACCATTAAGAGTAACAAGAATACTTAAATTTTATTGTAATCTTATTTTTTAAAAAATATTTATGTATAATAAATTTTTAATATAATAATCTGTAAAAAATTTTTACATTTCAAATTTATTTCATTGTGTACTATCATTAAAATAAATACATGGTTAAATAATAAGATGCTATCTATATATATAGTATTTTAATAATAAAATCTATAATGAATTTAAATAAATTTTTTTAAAATCATTTCATGATTACGTTTTTATATGTTTAAAATAATTATATATTAATTCATTCTTTACCTTCAAATGATTTTTAAGTTTGAGCTACTTGACATTGACGTTGAAATATTTGCGTTGGGGCATAATTTACATTTACAAAGTGTAGACTTGGTACCATTAATTTTCTTAATTGGTTTAAAATATAATTCAAATTGGGGCCAGTGAAGGGTTAAATCTTCTTCATCTGAAGAAGTAAGTACTATGGACATATTATTCTTTTAAAATAAATTATAAATTAATTAATAATATCATTATATTTACTTTGAATTTTGATTGAATATTAATTTCGACTGATAATTTAACAACGAGTATTTAAAAATAAATTTTGGAAGTGGTTGATATGAATTAAAACTCGGCTTAAATTATTAATATTAAGAATTAAAAAATAAATAAAAGTAATTTTATAAAACAATAAAATATGTTTTTTTTATTTATATTTTTTAAGAAAAAATATAAAGTAACGAGTAAAGTAACGTTTTGCGATACCGTTACTCAAAAAAAGAAACGCGTTACCCTTACTCTTACCTTTAGATGAAGGTAACGAATGGCGTTCCTTTACTTCAAAAAGTAACGTCGTTTACTTCAAAAAAGTAACGTCGTTTTTTTGACGTTACTTCACAGCACTAGTTTAAACAATTTAATTTTTCTATAAATCTTAAATTATATTATAAAAAAAATCTGTTAATCAATTCACAGATCATAATTAAAATCATGGAGAGCAAGCAAAACTAATAAATTAAAGAAAAATTAAATATTTCATAAATATGAATATTTAATATCTATGTTAACTTAAATATAAAAAACATCGTAATTTACTTGTACAAAATATTTTATCGAAACCGGGTCTAACAATGTGTGCATAACATTATTCGAACTGTGTCAGTCAGAATTTTAAACTTTTAATAACATTATCTTTTTCTTCCACAAAAATTAACTATAGATCAGGCTAAATAAAAAATTCCCGAACCGGGTAATCTATGCAATATTCTCGGGTCAGGCCAAAAAATAAATTTTTAATAAAAATAAATAAAAGACCATCTATAAATTAATGAAAATAAATAGTGACCTATAATAGTAACCATACAAAAGAAGGTTAATCTAGAAAATCAAGAAACATAACATAAAACAGAGAAGAAAATAAGGAAGAAAA